TGGGAGCTGTAGTATGACACTGAGTCACGCAGTAAACCCCTTTGTCCATATGTCTTTACTTGCAAGTGTTCATTGCAAAGAGTCATTGGTCTGGTTCAGGCCTCTGGTTTCTGCTACACTCTTGATGATGGCCCTCACTGGGACTCTTCTCGAATATCCTGTTGTTGCCCTGGGCTGTGGAGATCCTGCAGCTTTGGATCTGTGGGTCAGGTCCCTTCACATACTCCTGCCAATCATAGATGAGGTGGATGTTGGGAGGGCCACCTCATAACCCTGGTTCTGGGCCTGGGTAGTTGCAGGGTTAGTCAGCCCACCTGCCCTCCCCTGTCCTCACTACCAGGATGAGCTCTCCAGCATTGCCTTGGCTAGTTCACCCCTTGCAGCGATGAGCAAGGGGCAGGGCCAGTTCTCCTGGCTTTCATGCCTTCAGGGTGCCCTCTCCTACACCTGGACCATCAGGGCCAGCTCTACTGTGTTGACCAGGCGAGGTGCGGGGGCCACTCTCATGAGTGCTGCAAGTGATGAGGGGGGAGAGACAGCTCTCCCACTCTTCTGACCTCGGCGCCATCTCTCCACACACCACAGGCAGCACGGGGTGAGGGGAGGCGGCGGAGGGGAGGCGGCAGAGGGGAGGAGGCGGCGGAGGGGAGGGGAGCATCTCTTCCCTGCCCACACCACAATACAGCAGATGAGAGTCCGGGCCAGATTTTCCAGACTCACATTCTAGGGGTCGGTTCACAGTAACCCTGCCGATGCGGTGCTTGCCCAGGCAAGGTGCAGGGCCCGCTTTCCTGAGTGCTGCAGGGGAGGGTCAGCTCCCTCACCCATCTCATGAGGATTTTTAAGAGCTCAGGTTCCAGAGTCATCCCATATGGTCCTAGAATCTGCTCTAGCATATCCTGGCAGTGCGACTTAAATCAAGTTGCCTAACTACCTTATTCTCCCCCGCCTCATCCAGATAAAGGGGGTTAATCATAGTATCTTCTCTATGGAGCCGTTATGGGGATGAAACGCGTTCAAACAGCCCACAGGATGCCCGGCACATAGAAATTGCTCATGAAACATTAGCCTAGACGATGTAGAGAAGACGATGCCAAAAACATGATAGTCTTCCGGTGTATGGAGAATTTTTAAAATTCCTACATCTTACTTTGGGAAGAGAGGGAACTGGCATTGTTTTCAGGGCACAGAGTGCATGGGCCTTCCTGGGCTTAGCCGGGATGGGGTGGCAGCCGAAAGCAAGCCAGAGTGGGGTCTTCTGGCAACTCTGAGTTCAGACATTGAGGAGAGGAATTCCTGATTTAGCGACACAACTCTTCAACCGGGAGGGCAAACGCACCATCTTGAGGGGACTCAGCCTTGAGGGGACTACTGTTCTGTTTCACCGGGTTTCCTCAACTCCTCAACCCTATGTCCCTGAAAGAAGTGTGGAGATGGAGCTATGACTACTTTTGTTCTGCTACCTTGTACATTCTGGAGTCTCTCTCCCTCCTTCTCTCTTTCCCTCCCTCCCCTCCCTCCCTCTCTCCCTCCTTCCCTCCTCTCCCATCTTGGAAAACTACTACTCTTTGGCATCCCAATTCAAATCTCATTCTAGAAGGTCTGTCCTCCACAGCCACAGCAATACCTGTGTATTATGGTGTGTGTGTGGCGGGGTGTGTGTGGGGGAGAGGGGGAGGCGTGCTTTGGTATTTGGTACTAACTAGGACAGGTATTTTCATGCAACTGAGACGCATTTGCTACAAGGTCCATGATCTGTGCCCAGGCCATATTTTTTCAGACCTATTAAGCGTCTGTAGAGAGAAATAAAGGCTGTGGGGCGTTGGTAAGTTTTTCTTTTGAAACTGAAAGGTCTCAGTTTTTTTCCATCTGGCCGGCATTGGCTGCAAGAGGTCCAGAGGTAGCTGTTTAGATGTGTCTTTCCCACACTGCGCTGGGGTCTCCTTGAGGGTTTGCTTGAGGCACAGATGTAGTCTAGCAGGGCAATGGAGACAAGGTAAAGCCCAAGTCAGGCTGTGCAGCCAGCAGCCATCTTGCCAGCACAGCCCTGTGAGGCTGCAGAAATGAGATCGGCTGCTCTGCATATGTTTTACACATCTCCAGGCAACCGACACTCACGGCACTTCCTAACCCTTGCCTCCTTCCAAGTAGCTCCCCGTCCTTGGTCTGTGTTGCTCTCACCCAGTCCCTTTAATTCCACTCATCCTTTAGTGACCCACTCCAGTTCATCACCCACACCTTTAACGACGCTGCTCCCAGAATTAATTTTACCCACGCTTCCACCCATTCGCTGCCCTTATGCCTTTTGGTCGCCTTGTTCAGTGAGCTGCCCATCATTTACACTGGCCACTTCAAGCTCTGCCACTGCGCCTCCCATCAGGCGCTACATCCTATTGATTATTCCAAGTAAATATCGAACCACTACAGTGTGTGTTCAGACAGAATATGGTAAAGGAATATCAATGAATAAGCTCATCACTTTATATTCATTCCTGTTACTTCTGCCGTCAGCTAGGGCTTTGTTTTTCTGTGCTTTTTCTCTTTTTTTAATTTCAAATGTACAGAAAGTTGAAAGAAATGGTAATGAACACCCACATACCATCCCTCAGATTCATCAACTGTTAGCAAGCCTAGGTTGCTGCTTTCCCTTAAAACATATTTGAGCATATGAGTACACACTTTAAAAATACTGCGAACCCATTAGAAAGCAAACATGGACATTGTAACACACCATTTCTTTCTTTCTTTCTTTTTTTTTTTAAATACAATCTATGAAATCCTCCTTAAAGAGCAAGTTCTTTGTCACAGTTCTCTTTAGACTAAAGCTATTATAGACTGAGCTTTATGGGTTGGCTTTGGGCAGCCCATGACAATCATTCACAAAACTTTCAACGTATGAGCAGTTTTCTTGGGGCCTGGGATGCCTGCAGGTCTTCTTCAGAGCTTCATGCCATCCAAACCAGTGTGGACTCCTTCTAGGGTCATCCTCTTTAACCCAAATGGGACAGCTATGTGTGTGACAAAGTTTGAGTTTTCTCCCTCAGACTGATAATTCAGAAGCTTCTAAAATCATTCATTGGCTTCCTACTTGCTGCCAGAGAGGGTTAATGGTCCTCAGAAGGACGGGGAGCCTTTGTGACCATGGCTCCCCATTGTCCCGCCAGTCTTTCTTCCACAGTTGCTGGTCCCTTAGTCCCCATGAGTGGCTATATTCCCACTCTGAGCTTCATGTGCCCTGCCCTCCTGCACACCTTAGTCCTTGCCTCTAAGCAGTTTCTACTTTCTTTACGAGCCCCACCTGCTGTGGACCATCCCCCCCAACCCCCCCACACCCCACACACACCCCTGTCCCAGTCCCCAAGTCCTCCCCAAAGCTGCTTCTGCTGTGGTGAACATTCTTCCGGGACATGGCTTGCTGAATTTATTCTGCTTATTTGTTTACACAACTTCATTCTCTGTGATGTTGAGAAGCAAGCACTCAACATCCAAATGACTAGATAAATACATGACAAGAAGATCTCACATCCCACATAGTCACCTGAGCACCACCACCACCCCCTCCCATCATCTCCTGATTCTGTTCCCTGAAGGAAGCTTTCCTAGGTTGATACTTGACTTGGCTTTCACCAAAGACTTTTTGTTCTAGGAGTCATGCCTCACACCTGCAATCCCAGCACTCAGGAGATTGAGGTAGGAGGTGCCATCACCGTGGTTTGAGGCTGACCTGGGCTTCTAGGTGAATTCCAGGTCATCCTAGGCCAGAGTGAGACCCTGCCTTGAACGAACAATCAAACTCAGAAAGCAAAGCAAACAACATCCACACACTTTTGAGTCCCTCCCAAAGTGACACTCTGAGGTCTTCTAGTTTTCACAGATTGACTTGACACATCTCTACTATCTTTTGGCTATCCACATGTGACCACTTGAATAGACAGCGCTGTTTCCACCCATGCATGGCGAAGATTCCATACCATTTAGAGAGTAACAGACAGTCCAAGAAATGGACATCTGTCCAAGTGTTGGGACACGAGAATGGGACAAAAAGGGGATCGGTTTGAAGGCCTAGTGGAAAAAGCTATAGGCACCCTCCAGAGACTATTGCTACTTGGAATAGAATTTGATGATGTGGCCAGCTGAATCACTGAAGCTCACTGGGAGATGTGACCTTGAAGTGGGAGGGAAGGTTGGGCACACAAGCTCAAGACTGGGTTCTTTGATTTTTTTCCAGGTGACTTCAATGTACCTTTCCAACATTGGCACAAACATTGCTAATCCAGAAATCAGATCCTGACTTGCAAGATGGCAAGCAGCTGGCCCTTTGGCTAACATCCAGGTCTGCAGCACAAGCAAATACTTGCATTGGGTTTAAAGCAACGGCCAAGTAAAACAGAGCAGCAGGTTAAGGTGAGGGCTCTTTCTGTTATAGGTCCCTTTGAATGTAGGAGGAGCGTCCCAAGAGAAGGTCCCGCCCTCCCCCTCCACCCTCTCCCCGGAGGGCGGGGCGGGGCGAGAGAGGGGAAGACTAGGATTCAGAGGAGATGGGCTGGAACTTCCTGCTGAGCCGCCAGTTCTCCGGAGAGCACCGCAGCCCCCCCCCCCCCCCCCCCCCCCCCCCCCCCACACACTATAGTCATGGCTGCTTGTGTTGGGAAGCTGTGATGTTGCAGAGCTGTCGGCTAATGTCAAGGCTGACCCCAGCTGGCAGCGCC